TTCGACCTGAGCAGGACACGTTTCGGAGGTCCAAAAGCTCCAGGTGTTCGATGGTTTTCATGTCCATTTGTTTGGCAAAACACCTCCTAGGATCCACGAGTGACACGCAGCTTGTGGTGCGACGGGCAGGTACAGGGAGATGTTGTTGGGCGGCCGTTACTGCCCTGAACAAAGAGGTTGTTTTATCATGTTGGATCCGACAAGGGACAGGGAGACATGATGAGACATGTGTGCAGTTTAATATTATCAATGACAGATTCCCCAAGTCCCGGAGTCGAATGTTTGCCCCGTTGACGCCAGCTGCCAGCCTTGGACACGGTATCATCATGCGGCCAGTGTGAGCCAGTGTGTCCCATGGTGCTCTTGTGAGATTTGTTTATTGGATTCCACAGATATTGGCTCTACAGGCCACTGAGCAGGCGAAAGAAGAGCACCACGCATCGCTATGCGTGACCTAAGCCGATAGCGAGAAGAGCACCACACATCAGGTATCAAAGATCATTTGCCACTGACTCAGTACTTTGGGGGAACAGTTGATTTTGAATCGACTTGCTTGTTGGGATGACTTCTTCCTTAAACCAGATTGAGAACTCTGGAGGCAAACACTGAAGGAGCCTAGCTGGAGGTTCTCCTACAAGTATGCAACGTCAACTCGATGCACAGGTGTGCATGCATACTAGTGCCATGCTGCAAAATTATATATTTGATCAGTGTATATCAGTGTATTAATGCACAAGGAATCTTACTTATAAGATTAGATTGCATCAATCTGAGCTATCGCCCACAACGACCGCCGTCTACTGAATGATTTCGGACTCTTCCCCTAGCCAGTAATTCCCACCTGGAGTGGATTGGAATATTTGGAAAAAGCATGAAAAAGCCGTATATAATATATATATAATATATAATTTAATATAAATATATAATATATATACCAGCACCACCCAAAGGGTGGTTTATAGACCCCCCTGACTATTTAATGTCCATCTAATCACCACCCTTTGGGTGGTGCTGGCATATAATATATATATATATGTTTGATTCTCCTGAACCCCTCGGTTTCAACGGATCCTCGAAAAACCCCGCACCCGTCGGAGACGGCCGGCCGCCCGCGGTGAGGCGCCTCCCGGAGCATCGTCTCCGTCTTCCACAGTCCGGCGCAGCAAGTGGGACTCAGGCTGATTTGCCAAGGCCTCAGCGGCCAGAACGATCCCAAACTCCCTGCAGAACATGATCCACCATGCAGTTGTACCAAGATGAACGTGTAAGAAATGGAGAGCAAAAATAGCAACCTTGAAAAGTGGTGTGGGAGGTGTCACTCTGTCAAATTCACAATCATTTGCCACTATTCTGCAGGACGCACGAGCGATTTGAAACCCCAAAAGCAGAAACCACAGTTGTTCCTCCCTTGAGTTGTTTGCTTCTTTGATCTTCTTTGCATATCTTTGCAAAAGCGAAGAAGCCTAGCAAACAAGCCTAGCAGATGTGGTCGGTTGTACATTGTAGGCTGTATTCCTGGGCTCGAAGGAAACTAGACTCAAAACCATTGGTTGGGGTTCATGTCGTTTTCCTGCATGAAATTGCCTTACGGCCAAAAACCATCAAACACCATTGGTTGGGGAGGTCCCTTATTTGAATACGCATCCATATCAGCACCCATATCGGATACCGCTTCTAGGATACCTCGTTCGGATACCGCCGATCGATTCCTCGGCGCCGATGGATCTGAAGTGCTGCCGAGGCCTCAACCGTCCGGGCATGGGACAGGCAGGGCTGCTTGACAGACATGGAGGGATAGAGGAGAAGGGGATATGATGTTTGAGTAGCAGTTGTTGCAGCCCTGCAGTAGAAGGAGTGCTGAAATGGCAGTTTTATTTTGCAGTGTTTCTTTGAGGTCAGTGCTACAGTGCTACAGTTAACTTCTATCCCCAAAGCCACAGCTGACTCTATAGTTCGTTCTTGGGGCCAGCTGGTCCCTTCCCTCCATGCTGGTCCAGCTTCGGTCTTTCGTTGGCTCCCGGCCAGCGGTTCAAGGGTCTCTTGTGTGTTGACGTTTTTGCCCCGCAGTGCGGTTCAAGGACCTTCTTCATTATGAGTTCTTGGACTCATACCTCAAAGAAGCATGTATTGTTTATGCTCAACCAAACGCGCTGTTTTTAGAATTCTTTTTGCAGTAGTTACGGTGAGCGGGAGCATGCATGCTCCGACGTTTTGACTTGGCATAATGTACCATAGTGGACCTGACAGGAAGAAGAAATGCATGACATATCAAGCATGCCCAGGGACACCATGCCATGTATGGAATTCTTGTATGCAATATTATGCAATATATATATATACTGCCTATATATAGGTTTTATCCTTTTGCAATCACCCCAGCTGGTCGGTGATGGCTCTTAAATGGAGCTTTTGGGACATCGTGTTGGGACAGAGGGTTTTGCGCCCGAAAAGGCCTCCCCAGCCGCGGTAGGACGGGAGCTCAGTGCGGGTTCGGACGCAGGGTTAATTGAGTCAGAGCACTTGGTAGTTTTACACATAGGCAACCAAACATAATATTTAGTATTGTTGCTTGCAAATGTGTTCAGGGTATGTTTTCAGGTCATCCAGTTTCACTTGTTAGATTGTTGTTGGAGGCACAAATCAGAAGGCAGTTAGGAATGTCAGTGGCTAGCGGTGAATACAGGATTCATGCTATGAAGGTGCATTTGTGTCTCGGGCCTCAACAGCCTTGACACCTTGTGGTGTTGTTTTTGTGGCTTTCTCGGTGTCTATGGCAGCCACACAGAGGATGCTGGGAATGATGAACTTTGTGTTTTTTTCAGTCCATTGCTTCTTAGCCACCCCTTTGTTGAAACCACTCTGACGATTTCGCTTAGATGTCGATTCAGATGGCCCACAATGTCTGGAAGTTGAGTTTCCCTGCATATACCACTATTTCTGCAGCTTAACTATAGCTTAACATAGCTTATTACTGATAGAGCATGATCTGGCCACTGGTTTGATGATCTGAAAACACCCCCACCCAAAGAAGTCACAGAGGTCACCTTTCACAAGCTGGACATATTATACGGCGTGATTTGGTAGGTACCTTGTATGGTTGGGAGTCATGCGGTTGGATTTAAGTTGATTTGGTTTTAGGTGGTTGATTCACTTGTTTCGTTTGACTGTTGTTTCAGGAAATGTGGGTTTCAGCCAGTTTCAATGTAAGATTTGGTTGCGTACAGTACAGGGGGTTACTTGGAAGAAAAATGGGACAATTGTGTTGGGTCAAAACTTGGAGATTGATCTATTGAAGAGAGTTTGTCGGCCATTTGCAGCATTTTTGTTCCCTGTGGTTTGGATCTATTTTGGGAACTCTTCGCTCCAAGGAACTCTTTGCTCATGCTGCCAAAAAGCCACTGGGCGTTTTTGGACCAAGAGTTTCAGTTCTTCTTCATCTAGATAGAGAACTTTGAAACTCATTGAAGCTCATTCAAAGGGTTGAACTCATTCTGGAACTCATTCTAGAACCCTTTGAAACCAAGATGGAGTTCACTCTAAATTGACCGGACTTGGTCAGGACGTCTATCGAGTCCGGGACCTGTTTCGGACTCACCTATCGTCCCTCTCGGTCTCGGCGGTCTCAGACTCACACCTGGAGCTCCACTGCAAAGACACGGTCGCCTGTGGGGAGACTCGTGGAGAACGAGACGAAGACGATAAGCCAAGAAGTGGCGAGGTCGCTGGAAGGTGGTGAGGTAGGTAGGTATGGCACCCCCAGAAAGTGAACACAGCGCCATGGGCCCTGGATTGAGTACGTGTGAGCATACACGAGAAGATGTCTTTTTCAAGCAAAACCGGCACGGTTTGAGACCCTTTTCTCGTGGCCGACCTGAAACTCGATGAAGACTGGGAAGCCTGGCTCTCACACTGGCCATGGGAACCGTTGGGAACCCACTGGAGATTGAATTCACCCCAACCAGTGCCTCAGTGGCTTTGGTGGGCCATGTGCGAGGGAAGAACGGCGCCCACATGAAGCTCAGGTTCTAAAAGGACCCTCTTCTGTGATGCAGCTGTTTGAGATCTGGAGGTCATCATTCTTTCTGAGACCTTTTTATTGATATTTGTTCGTTTCAGGGATCAACTTTTGGGATGAAGATCTCATTTGCAGCAAAAGTGATCTGATGGGATCCGAATCTCCCAAGGCGGTTCAGAGCTACGAGTCACCATCAACCCATGCCCAGATTGCACAGTCTGGGTGTTGGTGTTGTTTTTCTTGTTAAAGCCACGGGTAAGTACACCCAGTTGCCTGTGCTAGAGCCGCTACATGTGAAGAATGACCTCTCATCAAAGCTGGAAATGAACTGCTGCTACTAGGCATGAACATAAAGAATCAAGATGGATAGACTTCTCGAGACTCCCGGACTGCCGGCCTCCCAGCTTGCCTGCTTGCCTGCATGGGAGTCGAAGAGGTGTCCCTCCCAGGTTTCGCGTGGTGGGTCCACGGCGCCATAAAGCGGTTTCGGGTCATGGCACCGCCCGGTTGAGCCTGGTGGGTGGACCTGCCTACGTAGTTTGGGAAAGGGTCATGAAGAGTCTCACGGTACCTTAGTATTTGCCTTTATTTCAACGAGCTCTTGGATCCGAGTTGGGGGTTGACTCGATGACTTGACACGCGAGTAAGCCGCGGAAATTCTGGTGCGACGCCGAAACGCCTGCGGAAACTCGTGTCAAAGTTGTCGTTGGTCAAAGAAAATTGAAGAGCAAGCGCAAGAAAACTCAAGGGCATTGACACGTCTATCCATGCATCTTGCATTGAACATGCTTTCCACGACAACGTGACCCCCCTCCAAATCCTATGCAAAAATGACGGTCCGACCTCAGAGCCTAAGCATGTGTAGCATTTTTTGGGACCAACAAAACAGCAATAGGAGTTGCCCAAGTTTGGATTCTTACATCCCTGATTCCTCGCATGCAATTCAAGACGTTTGTAGGATGAGCTGTCACTACTGAGAGTTGCCATGGTTTGCGGCGTTTCCTCAGCACAGATGGAGAATCAGGAGAAGAAGAGTGGAATCAATACTGTATGCCTTTTTGGTGCACTCACCTGTGATTGAAACTCATGAGTGGGGAGCACGTTTTCGCCAGTCAGCCCAGCTCAAGAATTCACTAAGCTTCTATAACTATACTGTTGCTGTTCCTGTTTCTCAGGTGTGTCCAATCCTGAAACGGGTCGCCCTGAAAAAACAAGACCGTCCAGCGGCCTCGACCTAATGATCAGTCCAAGTTTCAGTTCGGCGGTCAACACGTGGCTTTGGCCTGACAAGACTCAACGACCCAAGGGGTCTATGCTTCTCCTTTGATCCAGCACTTCTCCTTTGTATACAATGTACAGATTCACCTCCCTTCGCAAGCTACGACTCAACACCCTCAGTTCACCTTTCTGTGAACGTGTGACCAATCACTCTTTGAGAGGGTGGCGATCCAGAAATTGGAATATCACATTGACCCTGCTGAACTCCCTGTCAAACAAAACAGTCCCTGGAGTTTGACTGTTTGACCAAGCCATTTGGCAGTTTCCAGCAGGTTCCAGACTGAAGGAGTCCCCGCAATTTACCCCATCCAGCCACCTGGTACTGTAGGAGATTGCTCCATGCCCTTGGAGTGCTTTCAGGCGGACGAGTCCGCACCGAATGCCACGGAATTCTTTGGAGGATGTATGAACACATCATATCATGAAATCCTATGACAAATCCTGTGAAATCCATGAGAAGAATTCGGAATCCTCCGCCAGTGAAGAAGTGAGGTGAGTTGTCGGCTGGCGAGTCTTCTTTTTCGTCCGGAGAGGGTCTAGTCTTCATGTGGATCCGACATGATGCAAACAGCAGAAAACGCGGGGATCGACGGGGAGGTGATGCTGAAAGAAACACCATGAAATCGAATCGATCGAACTCCAAGATATTGGGTTCTTTTGGGTGGCTGAATTATTTCGAAAACCAACACTGAGGCCCTAAAAGGTTTCAACATGGCCCGGTCCCCTACACGGCTGATTCACCTATGATATGCATTGATATGCATGTAAGTTTCATGATAGTCATTCAGAGTTACTGGCCTTAGGCATCTCAATGATTCTCAAGTAGATCCCCTAATCAATGGCACTTGCTACTTGGTCGGTGCGCTTCTGGAACCTAGTGAATCATCTAGCAACTACCAACATCTAGCAAAGGTTCTGTTCCAACCACCCAAGACATTCCAACACCCTGGAGACCACTGACGGAGAGCAGTGGTTCCATGCGGTTCATGCAGAGACCCGCGAGCACAGGTATGATCTGTTGTTTTGCTGGCTTACACCCACCATGCGGCGGGCCAAGGGGCCACTTGGACTGCGTCGATGCACCGACAGTTGGGGCGGCTGAGGTCGGAGTGCCGAAGATGGGGCCGGGCGGCTGGTGATGCGTTCGCTATTGATGCGTCTGCCCTTTTTCCATTGTTTTACAACGAACTACACCGACATAGACCCCAGATAGCAACTGACGCTAAAAAGCAGAAGAACCTGAGACAAAGAAACATTTGGTAGTTCGCAAGCAGAAATCCAGAGAAGTGGGGAGACAAGTGAAGAGACCAATGGAGAGACAAGTTAGGAGACAACAAGGTACGCAACATGCCGATCAGCCACCCGGTCGTTGAGAAGTAAGAAGCCCTACAACTTTTAGCTATTTGGAGAGGAATAACATGCCACGGTTGCAACACACAAGAGCTTCAAGGCACACAAGGAACTGCCGCCACTTCGTGTTTTTTTCGTCCAGAGAAGTCAGCTTCAAGCGCCACTTGAATGGACCCCACAGGCAAAGCTATAACACACTTGAAATCATGTGGGAGTTGATCTAAAGGCCGGTGTAAGATCGTGGAACTTGAGGGGTGTTATATGCCGTTCCAAGAATATTGATCAGCCATTGTACTATGCATATGATCTATTAACCTGCATACCTGCATTGTTCTTGTTTCTACCGGCCGAGTCTCTCGATGCCACTCCCAGATAGGATCGTGTTTCCTTGGTTTCTCCCAGGAAAAAGGTGGACCTGGTGCCTTGGCCCTCAAAAAAGTAAAAACAAAAAAACACATGACGGTTTGGATGGTTTGGCACACAGATCTATGTATATATACTATGGACCAAACAGAGGGACCGCGACGGAGGGGCAGGTGCTTTTTTGTTGAGGAGAGGGGCAAGTGTGGTGCTGGAAGCAGTTTTTGTTTGGTTTTAACTAAGCGGTGATGATGTACGATGAAGTGAGTACATGTTCTTTGGATGTATGACGTGAGTTGTGAGTCACGTCAGCTCCGGCTAAACCGGTTCGAAACCTCGAACAGATGGTGAGAGGTAGTCAGGTAGTCCTCCTGGCGAAAAATGTGCTTCAGGCATTCGAAGCGCAGCAGTTTGCTGGGTGGATCGCGCTGTTCAACCAAGAAGTATGCCGGACCAGAAGATGCCCTTTGGAAACGTGAGACAAGAAACATCCGCAAGACACAAGAAGCAGACCTGGACACCTTAAACACATCAAGCAACAAGCATTTACAGCGTGTTTTGCCTAGTTACAACCTCCCCTTTTTTGTTCACATGAATTGACATGAACATTGTTATCTTTTACATGCTTTTGAACTAGTTTTATCATGTTTTATCAATTGTTGTTTATTGCGAACTAACTATATATATTTGTTTTTTGTTTATCCCTAGGGATCCAAGTACCTTCTCAGAAGGTATTTGGACCCTCCAAACCTACATAACAGTGTCTCCAATCACCTGCTGAGAAGGTACTTGGATCCCTAGGGTATAGCAATCATAACATGTCCGCTGCGCCAAGGCCGAAATCTGGAGCCCCAAGCGGCGGCTTGCGCCACCGGACTCGGTTCGCCGGGTGGCACGTGGAGAGTTCGTTGGGATGCTTTACGCGGCCTTGGCCATGTGGCTAGGCAGCAAACCGCAGAGTTCGTGGGGAGAAAAGGGACACCGGAACGGGGTCAGGGTGTGTTCGGACACGTCTAGGGAGACCGAACTATTTTGCTTGGGTTTGGGTCGCCTTCCAATCCAAACCAAGTTAGTGAAACCTTTTATAGTGTTTTATGTTTTGTGTTTGATTCTTTTGCGTGGCTGGCAGCGATTCGACGCCAGAACGATTCCAGCTTTGAACCAAAAGATAATTTGTTTGAGCGAAGAGCTTGGTGTTTTTGCAAGTTTGGTAGTTGGATAATTTCCAAACTGTGTCTTTGCCGGTTCCTTTTGTGTCCTCCCAAGCAGCAGGGGCCAAGGAGCCAAGCAGCTTCATCAGTCGGTACAGCTGACTGGCTGGTGTCCCAACGAATCTGATGTTGGAGCCTGAGGGAACCTGATATTTGCACCATACAAAAGAGGAACCTTTAATACAGCTTCGTCAAACCTGGGGTGGCTGCCAAGCGAGGGCGTGGAAGGTTTAGATCCAAGAACACCCAGCTTCTATTCATTTGTCTCTCAATGGGTTGTCCATTTAAGTTCCTAACTTGTGCTCCCTCCACCCCTTTCCAAAGGCCACATAAACCTTCACAGCGGCCACCTTCACAGGTTGCTCTATGCCACCTCGATGACTTTGATGCCCGTGGCCATGATGATGGTCATCAAGTCCCTGGGACTGGCACCGAGACAGACCAGGTCAGTCGTGGAAGTGAACAATCCGCGCCACCGTTTGATTTGTTGCATCGCGTGGTGTTTTCATGTCAATTGGGTCTGTGTGGAGAAGGAGAGAAGATCCGTATAGGAAGAAGACACATTGGTGTTTAAGAAATGTTTGCTCGGGTGGTTTGCAACCGCATCTTGGCAGATTTGAGCCTTGGAAAAGCTTTTCAAATATGTGTTCAACTTGTCCAAAATTGTCCAAATCTGGGTGAGATAAGATGAGATAAGTGCATTCTGTCACAAGAAAGTTTACACCTTCATCTTCAGACCGAACAATTCTCCAAGTTTCACAACGCCACTCACGCCGCATGAGTGCAACAAGTGGTCGGGGTGGCATGCTGGATGTCTTAGGATGTTGCTTGTTGGCTTGCAGCTGTGGATCCTGTTGGCCTAGCCACAAATGCTTGCCGGACAAAATGCTCGCCGTTTCGAACATGGTATAATTATGTAATTAATCAACATCATGTTCCTACTACTATCTACTACTCGTAGTCCCTGCTCTAGTTAAAGAGATTATTTGATACTGTATATATGTAGCTTCTCCGAAGTCAGAGGCCCAATCTCAGTGTTTTTCCGTGAGACTCGGTGTGTTTTTCATGAAAACGTCCTTCTTTCCCCCAAGACGAGGTGCGCAGAGGTCGAGGAGACGGATGACTTCAATTGGCTGGACGCCTCCTGGAGCCATCCGGAGGCCTATCGAGCCGGACTCCGTCCGCAGCGCTCTTTTGGGGCTAGTAGCGCCCTTGCTCCGTTCGTAGCGATGCCAGGAGCCCCGTTCGTAGCTCCTTGTTACTAGTAGCTACTTGCTCCTAGTAGTACGGCCAGGAGCCCCTGCTAGCGTCCTGGTGTTTGCTTGCTTTTGCGGAGAAGCCCGTTTGTAGACTCTTCGAATTAAACACTAAGGGTACATGACCCATGCATGTTGAGATCTGTGTTGGAAATGCAGAACGGTTTGTTAATTCTAGTTACTAGTTTATTGTGTTCTCCCCTTGTTGCGCTGTTTTGACATCCAGAGGTGAGGAGGTCCAGCGTTTAGTAGATGGTACCGCCTCCGACCTTCAGAAAAGCGAGCTAGTAACGGTTTGTACGCATCCTGGATTTGCTATTGCGATTCCATTTGTGGACAAGCGGCCCCAGAAAACCTTGTCTCATCCTAGATTTCAGGCAGAGACATTTGAATACCTCCGTGCCAGGCCATGATCTATTGGATCATCATCTATGTGGTGCTGCGTTTTGGACTGAAACGTGAGCATTAACTGGAAGACTGGTGGCCTGTTAGTGTGCTTCGTTCTATCGCGGGCTTGTTCAGGTCGTCAAATGTATTACCCCCCCACTGAGGCAGTCCATTTCAGCGGTGGCAAACCACTGGCAATTCCATTTGGCATATCACGCTGGTCAGCGGATGCGGGCACAGGCCATGCCGGTCGCTTCAGGGGTCCCTCAGTCGACGACGTCCAGGCGGATGAACATGGAGAACGATGCGATGAACCGTTGAAATACCGAGAAGCTAAGCTATAAGTGACCCCTGTTTTGGAGCCAAAACATGTGTTGTTTTTTCTATCACAGCAGAGGTCAATGGGCTCTAAGTATATAAGGAGTTCTGGGAATGGATCCAAAGGAATCTCTGGACCAGGTGGCTTATGCCCTCATTCCTGACTAAGCCAGCAGTCAGATGGTGAACGTTTGTTCCACTTCCCGGGTGTTGTTCAGTCGCCTAAAGTTCCAGACATGGAACTTCGAAGTTTCATTTAGTAATAGGACCACTTCAAGTGAATCTCCTGGTTGATCCAAGTTTTGTTGTTTCGTGTGTATTTGTTCCCGAAGCAGGGCATCCGTTTAAGGGGGAAGCAGCAATGCTGAGCAGTGCGCAGGTGATCTTGATGGTCTTCCAGAGCCTTGGCCTGGAAACCAGGAGATACCACTTCCGGTATAGAATCACTCAAGCGCAAGCAACTCAAGCGCTGTTGGAGGCGTTTCGCTTCGCACTGTTGAGCATGTTCGCTTCGACGGGCCGCTTACTTGTGTTCGCTTCGAACGTAGGGAATGAGGGAATGGAATGAAGGAATAGATCCTTCTTGGCATCTATAGATAGGGGGGTCATTCGATTCAATCAACTATGAGTCGCACCAATCTGTCAGTTGTGGTGTTTCTCACGGGCAAAACGGATTTTGGACAAAGGGAAATGATCACTGCCAAAAACGGTTATTTGTGGTTATTTCACTTTGTGTTTGGAATGCATCTCCTTAAATAGCGATGTTTCATGATAATTCCTTGATATATCTTGATATACTTTACATGTCAAGTTGTAACTGATCCAGAGCGCAAAAGAGTCATCATCTTGTAGATTCCATCCCAACAGTGACAACGGACAGGTCGTTATCTAAGGACAAGCGTCCATGTTTCATGTCTAGAGACCATGAGGGCAACCCAACATGTTCCTGTTCCCTTTCTATGAGATACCGATCCCAGACAGTCCAGGTATTCCTTTCGGTAGAACTCCCTCTTCGCATTCTTGAACTGTATTATATGCCATAATTAAATCATAATCATGAATCATATTGTATTAACAATACAATATTAAATGAGTATATAATCATATTATGATTACAATCATATTACTGAATCATGTTATTGTTCAACAATATAGATCGCTTATCGTTTATCTACAAGGATCGATTGAGGAGCCACGGTCCTGGGCCACGGCGGCCACAGGGGCCACGTCGACCAAGCAGTGGGTCACCGGCGCGTAAGAGTGGAAGAGTTCTCCCAAAATTCTTAGACTTGAAAACAGTGAAAATACCCAAACCCACTTGAAAACACCCAAATGTCATTGCCATGGCATCCTCTACCATGTGTCTTCCTACCATGTTTGATTGCTGCCGTCGTTCAAGACAACGAAGACGTCCCGTCCCAGCTGAGTTGGGACGACTGAGGAAGGCTTTGAAGGTGGATCCCCGGGTGAGGCGGGACACGGGAGGACGACGGGAGAGGCGGTGCCGGGAGAGGTCAAGTGGATGGATGGACACCAATGAAGAACAAAGTGAGGTTTCTGGGCTAGGGCAGGGTGGGTGGTTCCATGTTCAGGGGATTTTGGTCGTTGCTGGGTAATGGTCAGGAGTGATACAAGCACCTTTTCCTTCAGGATGGTCACTTGACTACTCAGATCGTAAGATCTGACGAACGCTACACAGCAACCCAGCACAGTTCTTCGCTGTGAAGGAACAGTCTTGTGTGAACGGTACTTTGGAAATCACTCAAGCCAGTTTCTCAACGATACGGGGGACAGCCGAAACTTACCGAAATGACGCTCTGCATATGCGATATTTATGCAATATTTGCCTACATTGGAGTTGTTTGCGGGGTCAATGTGGGCATTGTATATATGTTGTTTTTCCATGCATAGTCATTTGCCCCATAAAAGATGTGGTAATTCTTGGTCTATGACCGGCCACCCTCTGTCAGAGCCTTGCACCTCTCCAGGACTATAATTATGTAGCCTTTGGTAGACTCTTGATTCTACTTCAACCTCGAAATGAAGAGGTTCTTCAATCCCAATTCAAACGAATATATTTTATTCTTCGAGAATCAAGAGTCTACACTACCTGGTTCACCATGCATTGTACATTCAAGCGACCTAGTCGTTGAACCGAGTCGTTGAACGCGTGCGCCTCGAAGCTGACCAAGTCGTCCAGGCCTTCCGTGGGTCACACCTTGAATTTGATGTCCACTGACGCGCAGACGCTCGGCAAATTCGCTTGGGGCAAGATGGCGGGGGGCATGTCTTCCATGGTAAGAACAAGGCAATATCCTAGATGTACCAAAGCTGGCGGATTGATATCCACTAAAAGATACCAAGCCTCAAGGAGCATGGACAGAGTATGAGAACCATTGAGAACCCTGTTTGCTTCATAAGCAATCTTTTTTTTGGGAAACTGTGTTGTTATGGTCAACTCTTTCAGTGAAGATACGGCCAAGGAAGAACAGAGTGCCACAGCCAAGAGTTCTGAAAGAGGGGATTCAGCCAGCAAACCACAGTGGATTTTGACGTTGAGCTGCTGAATGTGCGATGTCACAGATCGCTGTTTCGTTTTCAATGGTTCATTCAGGCAGGTGGGCAGATTTGGGTGGTACATGGTTGCGCAATCTGGCAGAAGTTCTTTACCCTTCTTTACCATATGTAACCAGATTTCTTTCAGGTGAGGGACCATGAGTCTAAAGACCATTTGTGATTGAGTGGGCCCATTTGCGATCCCTATCCTTATCCCAACCATGCTGAAGGCGTTCTGGGCCGTTCCGGGGAAACAGTCCAGGCATCGCAGGACTGGACTTGGTTTTCTTTTCCACCTGGTGATCTACATCCTACATGGCTCCAGAGACCTTGGTTGACCGGTTGCACCCATCAACACATAGCTCGAGAGGTCTTGGGCGGCTGGGAGTCTTCAGGGCAGTTGAGCAAGCCTTTTGAGAATCCAAGAGGTCATGACAAAGCACTCTGGAGGCATCCACTTGAGCAACGATCTAATCCTGCTGATCAGCTGATCTCCGGAGTCATAGTCCACTCACCAGGAAGTTGTTAAAAGTATGTAAAAGAAAGACAATCTCTTTCTGTCATGACATCCAACAATAACTCCATGAGCCGAATGAGGAAATTCTTAGAAGCGCTCCCGTTCCTCCACAAGCTTTGGGCCTCTCCGCTGCTTGCCACGCACGTGCCGAATCCTGGCATCGCGACACCGCACAGTGTGCTGGGTTCCTGGGTGCCTTGGGGTTCCTTCCCCATTTAACAGAACGTACTTCACACAGTAAGGGTTTAGATCAGTGAGGATGTTCAAGCATTTCCGACGTGGTACAAAATGATTTGATTGAACATTGAAGACAGATTTGATCTTTATTTGATCAAGTTACCTATGCGAGTGGACTCCCCACATATTTTATTATGTAGAGACACACCACATTTACTCTGGTCTATGCTCACATTGTGCTTGTATTATCTTGTATATACATTTCCATTTGTTGTGCTACCTGGAGGCACGCTTGCATTGAGTCATTTTTTTCAATTTGTATGTTTTAGCTTCTCCCGGATGTCGCCACCCCAGAGTTCATGCTCAGGCTGCAAGTGGTGATCGCAAGCATTATTTTGCTGGCCCTTGTGGACGTGAGCGCCCTTTGTGGCATCGCGGCGCCTGAACTGTATAGAGGGTGATTTGGGTTTGCAGGAGTTTACGAATCCAATTACCCAAAAGATCCCAACAGTAAGTTTATTCGCCTCATTGTTCAAGGTACTTTGTGCGAAGTCTACAGTAGGTGGGACTGAAACAAACACTGTTCTCGAGCTTTGTACCATGATGATAAGTTATTTGTACATGTGTCAGCGACGGCTTCACGGCGGTGTTGTTGATTTCACCTCTCATAGGTTCTAAAGAACCTGAGCCGTTCAGGTCTCGCTCCTGGGCCCAGGGCCATTTGGAGTTGCTACAGCCAGGGATTGGGATGGATTCAACCTGTTCATATTGATTCAAGTGGTCCGTACTTCGTCAGTGTCCTGTTTTCTTGTGACGAAAACAACATTGAAGATGTATATGTTCAACATTCTTCACCAGCACCACCCAACGGGCGGCTATTGGATGGAAAATACATTTTCAAGGGGGTTTTCTAGTACCACTCTTTGGGTGGTGTTTTTAACTGTGCAACTGTTGGCGTAGGCCGGGATAAAAGATGTGCAAGCACCTGTACAGATCGGAGATGTGAGGTGTCCTCTACCTCCTTCACCCGCACGAAGGGAGAACGAAGGGAGTTTTACGTCTCGGACGAGAACCATGAAGACGAAGACAGAACGCAGGGAGGAAGACGACTGAGGCATATTTTTTCGTGTTACGGAACCGTGTTCTCCACATCTCTTTGCCCAGCAGCCCCTAGCATCCAAAGATTAGTAACCTTCCCATCAAAGACATTAAGACACTGAGGCAAAGCTGGTCCTCTCTAGTGTGCGGTTTCAGGCTTCGTGGCCCTGGTTGATCACACAATTGTTGATCGAAGGTTTTTGATCCAACTGTCAAGTTTAGATGCTTTCACCCATTTTGCGAGGGGGATAGACACCTTCAGGAAAAAAGCAAACAAACTATAATTAACAGATGTTGCAGGACATTTGTTGCCTCCAAAAACGCTGCTTCAGGGATGGGACTTTCACCCGGTGATGCCCCTAACGGCCCTACCGGAGGTGCTCGTGCTGGTGGTGCCCATGTCTCGTCAACTGGCCAAGCTGCTGAACCGGCCCCTCGGCTGTTCATCCTCATCTCGTCTCGTTTGAGCAGCTGAACCGGGCGTCTCGGTGGATCGGGATGAGAAGATATTTGAGAATATACCTGGTTGGGTGGGAAAATCCGGGAACCTTGAAACAACTACTACTTCAGAACCCTTCGGAACATAAACCTCTTCTGGACTTCGAGAGGTCCGTCCTTCCCACCGCGAAGGACCAGGACGTCCCTTCGAAACCGAGGTTCCGGGCGCAGCACTTGGTCTTTCAAGATCAGCGCGTGCGCATGTGTGTGGAGATGCTGGAAGGCGGAAGGGACGGGTTTTCACCGTGAAGGACGGTTGGTGGGTTTTGTGTTTGGTCGTGTGTGTGTGTGTGTGCATGTGTGTGTGTGTTTTCTGATTTGGTTTTGGGGGGTGGGGAGACCTCCCAGTTTTTAAGAGTGTGTTGTTTAGAATATGAAACGGTGGGTGATGGTACTGTCGCTGAATAGATGTTTGGCGTTTGGGGATTGCAGGTGCATTGAGAGCTGTCAGGTGCAGCCGTTTGACCGGTGCCTAGACTCACCTCACCCACCGTTTGTCGCCGGTGCGGCAGCATCTGGACCCACCTGAATCGACGGGTCCATGCTCCGTCGTAGGTGAAGACATCTTGACCAAGTCTTTGGTCTAGAATACCGGCACCTTCCAAGCTGTCTTCTGAAGACCCAATGTGGGTCAGGGAAGCTTCCAAGCCAGGAAGAACTGCCCTGTACAGCCCACGTACTATTTGTGCTGGCAGCAGAGGTCACAGGTCGCAACCTCCATGTCCGTAGACACCGGGTGACTCCAGGTCGTTTTCGACCCTCCCGGAAAACTATCCAGTCAGTGGATAAGGAGTTTTTGGGGAAAGGCAGGCTTTCACCTGTATTTTTGTTCACGGAAATTCAGGTAGTCAGTCCAGCCAACAAAGGCTTTAACCTGTACTTTTTTGAGGGAAATTGAGGCATTTTTGTTGGATCGAGGGTAATTGAAGCATCAAACCAAACGAAAGAAAACACACAACCAAAGTCTTTCGAACAATGCTTGCGATTGGGGGAGGCATCCGTTGCATCAAGTACTTTGCCTGGGAGAAGCCCTACTTGCAGCGGGTCTTTGGCTTGCGCACACATGAGAGCCTTGGAGAATTCCTGGCACACTGGTTGCTTTGATGAGTACCAACCAATCGCGAGGTTCAAAAATTCAATAAGCGGACATGGACATATTGTCAATAGCCTTATATATAGCAATGTAAGTTGAAGACAACTTGCACTGTAGCGAAAAGAACGCTATAACTATAATATACTATAGGTAGCATTAATTGAAACCTTCAACATCTCCCACCACAGGGGGAACCTTCTTCGGCGCGGCTGCATGAGATTCTACGTGTGGACAGCTTGAGTCTAATCACAGGTTGCAGTCAGTGTATCGATTTAAAGTAGTTCATAACTCATAACGGTTCTATGAACATGTCTTCCGTCCAGATAGCGATTCATACCCTTGGGTTGGTGGTCCAGTTCTTTGTTATTAGCTAGCCGGGCTAGCCGCCAGGATTAAAACACCTGATACTGATTCTCCACAATTCATGTTGCAATGCGAGTATGTTGCAGTATGTTATTGCCTTCCCTCAGAGGAGTATGGAAGCTGAAGACAACCTCTTCTTGTGCAAGAACATGAGCTTTCAAACGCATGGTCTATCGTCCATGCCTTCGATAATTTTTTAGATATGAACATCTACCATTGATAATCACTGATTCTGCTATTGAATGGATTGCAGTACAGTAGGCAGTAGATCATTTTGTTTCGTGGTCCGGCACCACATGAGGATTTATTGGGCTTTGCGCGAGTCCTTGGTCTTTGGAGCCTTGGCTGCTGTGGGAGAAAATTGGATGTACCGCTGTTTGAAAGAATAGACCACCTTCTGCAGGGTTTGCAAAGTTCACGACGCAAAACCGTTTGCATGGAAACCACATATTGCACAACGGTGTTACCGGAGTTCTAGAGACAAGGCAATATCTACTGATTTGTGTTCCGCTGGCTTAGCCTGTCTTGGGATGTCTTGGGCATATACATCGCCAGAAATGGGAGATGCATTCTTGGGATTGTTCCACGTTTGACACGGATATTCTCGCTCTGACAGGTTTCTCAATGATCTTTGCAGTCTTGAGCCCAACTTTGGCTTTCACTGCCACGCTCTTGGCCTTTGTCCTGCAGGCGATCAGTGAGAGTGTTGGTAAGAATCCTGTCGTTGAGTTTGACAATTCACTAGTCCCTAACTTCCCTAACTACTACGGTGGGTTGAGAGTAGATGGCACAATCCCCAAAAGGTGGTTTATATGGACCCCTATATAAAAGACATCTTTGGGTCCCCGGGCATTGTGCCATCTACTCTCAATCCACTGTAGCTATTAATTGCCTCGGAATCATCGTTCCGTTTAACTGCTTGCTCAAGTCACCCGAACTCATAACTGCTTCCGTTGTGTGATGCGTCTTTTGTCCTCCCAAAAAAGCCTGCAGGGCTCTGCCACCCTGACGGCCACGCGGGTCTTTGGGACCTTGGCCTTGCTGAATGCCTTGCGCTTTCCCATCATGGACCTCGGTGGCTTTGATGTGTGTGGAAAGGAACTGAATGAGGAGGTATAGCGCAGTGGCGAAAGGGAAGAAATTCATGATCACATGGTTACATGGTAACTGGTACAACACAAAAACTCAGTGCCTGCTGGAGGTTTCAACATTGTTTTTGATCAAGTGGGGAAGAGTTTACCTGGGCGGTTTTGGAGATCCAAGTTGGTGAGAAGGAGTGTGCTTGCCCAACATGCGCGAGCTGTGTCGGCCTGTCCATGGGCCTGCATCGATCTGGGTGTGCTAGGACAAAGGCCGCTGGTTCTATCTTGCGTTCGCTGCAAGATTGATGGCACATATACTGCAATATGTTGCAATGAACAGAGAGTCAATTACAGAAGGTACACCATTATTTGGGCGTTTGAAGAGAAGTAGCCGTTGATTCAAGGACTCCTCAGACAAAAGCCTCGAGATGAAGTACACGTGGTCAGTGGCACAAGATAGACGAAGAGGGCCTTGGTGTCCGACTTGTTGGTACAGTGGTTTCAGAGTAGATGACACAACCCCCAAGATGTCTTTAAGATGGGGGCCGTACAAACCACCGTCACTTGGGGGCCCTTGTGCCATCTACTCTTGAAACCACTGTACCCGTTGACCCAAAATCTCTATTTTGGATTCTTCAGTTTGACCTGAAGCTGTAGGTAGCATGCTGGCCACCATCGTCTCGCTCTACACCTCCTGGCACCGTCTCCGAAAGTATCTTCTCCTTCCAGAGGCCAGTCGTGTGGTCGATCGGGTGGCCTTTGGAAACGTCTCGAACCGAGTCGACCGGGTGTTTCGAGACGCCGGGCGTTTTGGTTCGCTTTCTATCAGAAACGACTTTAAATTGGAGGATCTCTCTGGAAGTGGGTCCTGGACCTTGGGCAGTTCATGTTAGGATGTTAGGAAGTTGATGCTGACGTTTGACGAGTCCTCGTTGGGTTCATCCTGGCTTCGTCTTCATCCTCGGTGCCCCGAAGCAAGTCTGACCATGCCCCAGTGGTGCAGATGCATCCATCAGTATACCCGTGAACGGGTCGCTTGCAATAGCCACACAGTTGCAGTTCTAAACGAATCTACCACCGAGTCCTTCCTTCTTTTGATGCGGTATCAATATAATTGCACTTTCTCTTGAGCCGGCTCGGTCAGGCGGGCGTTCCTGTGCAGGAACTCAAGGACTCTTGGCCAAAAGCGAGTTTGGGTGGGGAAAGCCGGGGTTTTACTGCTTGGCCATGGAACCAGCAGGAAGTTCATCCGTGGTACTCGCACATTTGTCGATCAGTTGGGATGGTTTTATGCACATTTACCGATCAGTTGGGATGGTTTTAAGATGCTTTAAGGGTCAATGTAGGTAAATATTCCCCTACAGATCAATGACCTCATTTTATTGAACTTGGTCATGCAAGGACACTACTGTTTAAAAGACCAGATTTTACTGGATAAGACTGGACTAAGTCCGGGTTCCCACACCAATTGATTCCAATTACATGAACTGTTAGGGGATTGAATCCCATGACCCACACGTTTGACCAGCAAGCCGCTGGGACAATGTCCCGTCCTATAGAGGGTTTTTCTTTGAAGTCAAGTGCTTCAAGCAAAACATGTGAATCATTTGCATGTGTTTTCTTCGGCTGATGTTTTCTTTTCACCTGTAATTAGCGCGTGACAGGGACGACCATTGGGCCTGTCCAGGACGACTTGGTGCAGGTTCAGCTGGACCATTGCAGCTTTAGCCATTGGACCTAATGCCTGGATGGGCCGAAGGAGATGGGAAATCTGTGGAGAGATGTGGAGAGGTTGATTCATGGTTTAACCTAGCATTGGTCATGTGCCCTTGTCAAATTAGCTGTGCAATCAGGATTTACCACAAAACGTGCTGCAGCTCCGCTGGGCTCAGTACTGTATCTGTGACGCGGTCGAGTCGACCAAACCCGAGGCGGTCGTTTCAGAAGTGAAGCAAGTTTATGCTACATTTTTTGCGGATGTTTGAGTTGTATTCTTCCCAAGCCCTCCAATTCTTCCCAAGTACCCAGCTAAATGGAGACCTCTATATCCCATTGCTTGGACGTGCAAAAAAACGAGAAAACCAAAACTTACATCATCTCCCAGGCTGCACAGAAGGAGGGAAAGAGCTCTTCCGGCTCAAGTTGGACACTGAGCTGCAGGCAGGCGCAAGAACTGCTGGGCCTGTCAAATGGGAAGACAAGGGGGTGACGCTGACGCCATCTTTGAGCCGCCTCGTTTGCAGGGTGTGGCCACAATAAAACGTCGGCTGCTTGTTATTGCTTTGTCCTATTTCGTTGAATTGGCCCTTTCATATTTGGCCTTTCTTCTAAATTATAAAGTCTATCATCTCAATTCATCTCATTAAAAGATATTGAAAGCACAAAACGAGACTGGCCGACTGCACCCTTCCGGATCAGCCGTCCTTCGTCCGCTTCCGCCGTTCACCGCCGGGTCCGGCCAGGTGCGGTGCGGCGAGGTGGTGGTGATCTTGGGCAAGGCGGCGAACGAAGGGGTGCGCCGGGCGTAGATCGCGATAGCATGCGAAGCGGACAAGAGGATACAGGATGATACAGGTACGTAGAGGAACCAGAAGTTGTGCTTTGGAGTCTATGTTTGATCTCTCCCGATCTGGTTGGTTGGTTGGTTGGTTGGTTGGTTGGTTGGTTGGTTGGTTGGTGAGGTGAGCAGCTAGAGTTTCGGGTTGATGAGTTGCCCTTCTCCTCTTGTTAGAAGAGTCCCTGACAAAGCAATAACAAATATAGCCGACCAGGTCCCTCCAAAACCAACACTGGTCCACCAGTTCAGGAGAAATCTTAACACCTTGTAGCCCTGAATCATGAACCCCTCAACTAGGCCAAGCTTGTCTTGTCGAGACTTCCACACCCAGGAATCATAGGAGGTTCCACCGATGTCGATTGAGGCTTGAGGTTCCTCGTAGGTTCTTCCATCTCATAATAGTGGTTGACTGGTCGATACTTCCTTTTCCCGAGGGAGGTCAGGGGGCCATTGTATTCTTACAACTTGTAATGTAACTTATAAAATATTGTTTGCGCACTAACAAAAATCAACCACTACTTTCTCAAGCAAATCAGGTTCCTCCTTGTAGCGATGGACGGGCGATGGGGTTCGGGTGGTGTTCGGTTTCTTCCCCGTGGACAAGACCTCCCTCGCTCCTTGGAGCTGCCCACCTGCCCACCTGCACCTCCGAGGTGGGCAGCGGCAAGTCGACGTTGCTGCAGGGCCTCTTGGGGGAGGTGAACTGCCAGGGGACCTTCCTCGCCTGTCGCGGCAGGTGAACTGGGCGTCAGTGTGGTTTCTATTGGATGGGGCCTGTGGGGTTGGTTTCGCCGGAGTCTGGATGAGTCGGGGAGGCTTTGTGAGTCTCTTGAATTAAAGGACCTCTACCTCTACTGTACCCTAAATTCATCTAAATTCACAACTCCCCTGATTTGGGGATGTGCACAGTGTGCTTCAAGATATATTTTCGGAGTCTTGTCTCCCGTGCTTCAAGAATTGCTCGGCTACTTGTAGCCTGCCAGGATTGCCTATTGATCTCAACAAGCTTGGATCCGGAACGAGTCGATGCGGGAGAACATCTTGTTCGGCGAAGCCATGGACACGGAGCGAAGCGGATACCGGATGCGATCAGCTGTCGGATGCGATGTGTTGATGGTAGACGATGAACGGATTGTTTTGGGGGGTTAAGGCGGGAAAGAAGCTGATAGTCTAAACATATGGAAGAGATTCAAAGTAGAGAAGACTGCGCATGCAGCATCCTATCAGCATAGTTATCAGATGTTATCAGCATATGTCACACTTTACATTTGAGTGAGTGTCTTCCGCGCACCCAAGGCCCAAGATGGGCTTTGAAAAGGGTCCAAAATGTCGTGACCTTAAAACGGTCGCCGATTTCTTCGCCTGACGAGATGGGACACCAAGCCATGGACAGTCCCATCACTGTCACCTCTTGAATTCAATCCATCCCAATTCTTGGATCATGCAGCATGCATAATGAGCCCCTAATTAGTAGCGTCCGATCGCTCCGAGGCATGCATCAATCATCCTGACTCCCCCAAGCCTCTTGGGAGCAGAACTCAAAGACGACCACCTTTCGGCCGCTAAGCCGGCGACAGCTAGCTCCAATCGGCGTTGGTAGCAGACTCCACCGATGTGGATTCCAGTGACCACTAAGAAGCACTATAGTGCTTAGGAACCAGGCTTTCCGTCAGTCTACGGCTTCTTTGGAACCACTGGTTGTCTATATATATATATAGCTTAGCCTGGCTTCACCGGCTCTGACCACATGGCCGTGCAGGAGTGGTATACCACAGTGCTGGAGGCGTGTGGCTTGGCCACCGACCTGAAGCAATTGGCCCACGGCGACCTCACCGAGATCGGTGAGCGCGGCATCACCCTGAGCGGAGGTGGGTGGCCTCAGATTCGCTGGGGACGGCTAAGCCGTCCCTGGGTGGAGAGAGGTGAATCCTGAATTCGACACGTTGAGTTCGATCCTGAATTTTTGGGACGGGATGCGAGGTGTGAACTTGTTGTCTTGGGAACCAGAAACAGTCAGTTGAGTTGTTTTGCAACCATTGAGTGTAGCTAAATACCGATTGATGTCCTAGCAATTGATCCTTTTGCGTATGTCCTGGTAATTAATTGTTGCATAAGGCACGTGTTTGTTTGTGCAGTTGGCATGTACTTCCGTATACTTCCATCCTATGAATATCGAGTTATTGATTCAGACGACATGGAATCTGTTTGTGTCAGCTTGGCCGGCAGAGGCCAAAAGCAGCGAGTGGCTTTGGCGCGAGCTGTCTACAACCGTATCTTTGCATGATGTTAAGTGTTCTTCTGAATTGATGCCCTTGTTGTAACTTCTTGTACATTAACTACAAACTAATCACATTGTAGTTCGATTCTTCGTGCTTTGTTTTAAGCCGCACCCTGTAACTGTGCAATCTCCCTGTGCCGCAAACAGCAACAGCAATGCATTGCTATGTTCGGACATCAGGCCGATTGCTCAAGCCTCATCCTCCATCGTTGACAATCTTGGCCTTCTCCCTTTTTCAATGGCAGCAGCCTGTTCCTCCCACTGGAGAAGTTGGTTTGACCCCAACTAGGCAATCAGGACGCGATACTGTCAGAACCATCCCGATTCCCTGGACAAGTGGCGATGTCGAAGGGGTCCGTGCTGTTCTTTTGGGCAAAGGAATAGCCACGTCCATATCCCAGACACTCCATGGGACTGGCATATTTGCATACATTGGGGTGGTTTCAGGCGCCAATGTAGGTATTTATACCAGGACCCTCCAAGGGGTGTCTATTTATAGTCCCTTAGCTGTTAAGGGGTGTGCATAAACCACCCCTTGGGGGTCCTGGTATATTCCATACATGGTATGGGTGTGTATTGGGAAGACCTCCCAGTTCGCTCCCCTGGCAGCTTCGGGAAATAGACCAGTCTACCCAGCCAGGGCCGAGAAAGGGGGTCTCTCGGCCATTCAAGATCCAATCCCCAACCGCCGATCTCGATCCCAGCACACCCATCTTCATGGGCAAAAGACAGATGTACCTGGAGAGGATCTGAATTTCCCCACCCATTTTCATCAGCCAGCAGCGCGTTTGGATACAAGTGGCCAGTGCGATCCCACATCAAAGGCAAATGCTCCCTGCTCTTGCTGGACGATGTGTTCAGCGCGCTGGATGCTCACACCTCGCGTCACATCTTGCCTTTTGGCCGCACTTTCTGGAGTGTTGCTGAGTTTTGAACCAAAAGCATCCAAAAGCCCCCCCCAACGAAGAAAGTATCTTGGAAGAAGTATCTTGAAGTCTAGCCTCGCCAAAATAGACGGGCGATTTCAGTTAATGATGCCTCCTATGGGCACCACCCAGGATGCAACGCAGCAGATGACTGGTTGCACCGGTATGGGTGAAGCAGCGATGTGTGGCGTAGGTATGTGTGGCGTAGCAGCGGTCCGTGCTGATGGTCCGTGTGGCTTGTTCTCCAGCCAAGGGAGGTTGTTTGAATTGCACGTGTTTTTCTTTAAAGCTAAAGGGTTCACTGGGTGGTGAACATGCTCTTGCTCTTCAACTTGTCTTTTGGTCTTCCCATGAATGAGCCCATCCGGTACACTGGCTGACTCCATGTTCATCCTTTTTCTTTCGGGTTTTGGAGCAAACTAACAATTTACTGTAAGTCTGTTCCATGACGGCCAGAAAAGACTCTCTTCTCCATCTGAAAGGTCGCGCCAGAGCCGAAGGTCGCACTGAAAACACACCTGCCCGAAGGCTGAAGTCATGACTGGACCAAGGTGAACGACTGAGGATATCAAGTGAGAGGGTTTAAATCGAAAGCCGCACACTACAGTGGCAAAAACGGTTCTTTCTGAGCTTCCCTTTTGATTCGTGTGTTTGGTCATTGTTGCAACCCGTTGTGGTGTATTGTCATTTCATCATAGGCCGCATCACGTAGATGCCTTTGGAAAGGGAAAGAATTGCGACAAATGCTGGAGGATTTTCCTGAAACTTATTATGGTCATGAGAGTTGTCCTTCCCAAAACAAACATATTGTAAGGGCTCCGCCCTGGTGCCGCCGACCCCTTTTTTGTGAGACAAGGCAGCATGGCGAGGAAGGCAACAACCGAAGTTGGACATAGTGCTCCCCAGCTACTCTGCGTACTAAAGTTGTATTGCTAAGTCGCCACT